TATCCTTCCCAGCACACAATAAATATTGCATGCCCTACCTTTGCATTGGACATCCCTGCATTCCTGGGATGCACTTCCTCCTCAATCCCTCCCTCCCTTCAAGGTTTAGCTCAGACTCCACCTTCTGATCCCTCTATCATTAGTCTTCTCCCCATTTCTGGAATCCCATAAGGTCTACTTTGTATTTCCTTATCTGGGGATGCATTGGATCTCCCCCTCCTGCCCCCCCCAAAAGAAGATGTGAAGCCAGGGGCTGTTTTCATTTTTGTCTTTGAATTCTCAGTGCCTGGCACAATACCTGACACATAGGTTGGATTATCTCACAGAGCACTCAGGAGAAAAACATGAGAGAAGGAGTGAGGCAATGGAAAGAGGGCTTCTTTGGGAATCAGAAGACCTGGGCAACTAGGTTGTGCAATTAAGAGGCAGCTAGGTGGCCCAGTAGGTAGAGTGCCGGGCCTGGAGTCAGGAAGACCTGAGTTCAAATTGAGAGAAATGATTATTTCTCTCTCATATTAATAGCCAATTATTAAAATTGGAGAGACCCAAGTTTTTTTCCCTGTCGTATTTCCTTGTCCAGTCTTTCAAGGACAGGGCTGATGGAACACAGAATTAACCTTCTGCTCATTCTGGGTATTACTACTAGATCAGACTTCTAATCTAAGGTGAAACTCCTTTCTGCTCAGGTTTGGGTGGGGTATATAGATTCTTTGTTTAGACTGCCCAAGGGCAGGCTTGGTGGGAAGGCTTGGCGATCTTATTCTTGAAAGTGCATGATGACTATAAGGGAAAGCCTCTCCCCACTTCCCTGACTTCAGAGAATGTGCAGATAGATATTTGAACAACTTAGAATGCCTTTTTCATAGTCTTCTGTGTCAGAACTAGATGTGTACACAAGGACTCCAGTGGACACAGCTCAGCTCAGCTCTCTTTCCTTCTCTGGCCATGATCAAGGGAAGGCATGCTATAAACTGGGTGGATAAAGAGGCCTGAGGCCTTTAATGTCCTTGTCTAGACAGATGTGGGTGCCCTGTTCTTGTTACTTATCCTAGCATACCCACATCTTGGGAACTGATCTCTCAAGGTATACAGGACTTCCATTTGCAGCCTCCCCACCATTCTTCTCTCTATTGGAAGTACCTCCCTTTTTCTTGGTTGAAATTTAACAGCAAAGAGTTCCAGTGTAACTTATTATGAGAGACAAATTGAACCAAATAACCACTCTACAACTTTTTTTTTTTTCCGGAGTTATTGTTTATTGTGTGTTGTTGTAGTGACATTGTAGAACCGGGTTGTGTAGACTGTAGAGTTGTGGATGTGAGTTAAGTTTTGAATTGTCATCATACATTACACACCTGAAGAACAGAGCTGAATAGTCAGTCACCGGGGCTATTCAGGTGTTCAAAATCCGACACATAACAACAGGACTGGACAGTTCGAGGACTATTGTTTTTGTTTTTTGTTTTTTTGTTTTTTTGTTATTTTTTGGGGGGGGGGTACCTATTTGGATGATTGTGATTGTATTGCAAAGACTTTACAGCCTGCCTAGGGCACTTGGAGGGGTTGTTGAGTCCTGGCTAAGGTATTTTGGAATGGAAAAGGGATAACTGTTATTATCATGAACTTCCTGAAACTGGGAAATTCCAATATCAATAAAAAGGTAAGTGTTATTGGGGTTACTTTGGAACTAGTTATTACCTCCCCCCCTCCCCTCCAGGAAATGGTGAACAAGGATAAAGCCAACATGGTGAGAGGGGAGGCTGAGGGTCATAGAGAAACTCTCCAGAGGAGGGAAACTCCATCCTCAGCAGCCCCCAACCCAGTGGCAATAGTTCTATGGAATGCAGGTCGTCGTCAACCTGCCTGTACTGTTACATTAGGGAACCAGCTTTCAACCAGGTTGTATAGACTGTAGAGTTGTAAATGTGAGTTGTTGTTGTTGTTGTTTCAAAACTAGACTCCCCCAAAATGCAGAGTTCCAAGGTTATGGTTTGTGGTGCTTGCAGAGTGTGGATAATTTGGAGGTGCAGAGAATTCGCAGGAACTCGATGTCCAGTCCCTCAATTCCCTCCAGCAGGAGGGAAGTGCAGCTTCTAACTTTGTGCTCCATTGGGCAAGGTTGCTCCAGAAGCTGATGATTGGAGGAGCACTGCCTGTTGAGCACGTAAACAACTACAGACTGACCCAAGTGCCCAAGGGGAAACCCTACTGTTGCACCCCTATTGTCGCACCTATCAGGGTAGTCTTTCAATAACTTGAGTTGATGTGCCAGAGGGGGAGAGAGAGAGAGAGAGAGAGAGAGAGAGAGAGAGAGAGAGAGAGAGAGAGGGAGAGAGAAGAGGAGGGGAGGGAAGGAAGGAAAAGATATAAAGGGGAGAAGAGAGAAAGGAGGGAATGAAAAGGGGGCATAGAGGTAGGAAAGAGAGAAAAAACAGAGTGGGAGGAAAGAGGAAGGGGTGGAGAGAGGAAGAAGGAGAAAGGGAAAGAAAGGGAGGGAGAGGGAGCAAGGGAAGAATAGAGAGAGAGAGAGAAAGGGGGAGAGAGAGAGAGAAAGAGAGAAAGAGAAAGAGAGAGAGAGAAAGGGGGAGAGAGAGGAGACAGACACATCAGAAATTACCCAAACTGGTGTCACTTGGCCTCAGGGACGGGAAACTGAGGCAGAAAGGAGGCTGCTACTGTACAAGCAGACCTTGAAGTGAGTCCAGATGGGCATGAACTATTAGCAGGGCCACCTCCTCCTGAAGGGTCAGGAGACCAGAGGTCAAGGCAGCCTGCTGTGGGAAAACCACCTGCAGACAGCTGCAAAAGAGCCGGTGGAGCAGCTGTCTTACTTTGACTTGTGGACCAAAACAAACACATCTGTGCTGGATTCACTCAAGAGGAATCCAGACTTTGATCAGAAGCTGAATTCCAGTGCACCAGTACCAAGCAACAAAGATCCCTTTGGGGCTTTGTCTAGACCCCAAAGATCCTAACCTCAGCCCTCAAAGCCTTTCCTGGGTCCTGTCCCCTCAAGCTTCAGAGAGAGAGAGTGGAAATGGGTCAGTAACACTTCTCTCAGAGATGCTAAAAGGTTCAGGACCACAGGTCAAGGCAAGCCACTCTGGCAACAGCCCAGAAGGAAGGCCTCTGAAGAGGCCCACCCTCCCACCCCTTCACTTCTGGGCTGTATTCCTCCATCTCCCATCAATTGGTCATTATCGACACATGCTTACTGGGTGCACTTAAGGAAGGAATTCAGCACAGGTTTATCAGGAAGCTGTGGTCCACCAGACTGATGTTTGATGGGTGCCACAGCGGCAGAAGTGGGCACGAACCCACAGGAGTTAGGCCAGCCCATTACAGAGGCAAATGCGGCAGAGCGGTGAACAGGGGCTTCCAGGTTGGAGCAGCGATGTGGGAGAGGGGCAGCGGCGTGACAAGCCAGAGAGCTGTCAGGTGGGCTGGCCACAGGACTGTGAAGATCACAGCTTCAGAAACAGGCAGATGCAGGCCAGGGGAACAAGAGCGTTCCTGCACAGAGGCACACGAGAAGCACCAGAAGAAGCTGGGGGTTGGCATTGGGACTCTGCTAAGGCAACACACTAAAACCGCCTGCTGCCCACAGGGGAGCCCATTGGACTCCCTGGCATCAGGAGGACAGAAGTGATGGAGAACCAGGGGAAATCGAATCCCCTCTCTCCAACCGTTGTAGATGGGCAGTTGGTTGCAAAATCTGGATGAAGAGGAACTGTGTCAGGTGGGCTTAAACTAGGAAGGGGAGAGCAGCCACATGGAGGGAGCTGGCAGTGCAGACTTGGAAGGGCAGAACAGATGTTAAGGATCAGAGATTAGGGAGTGGGGGCACAGACTTGGAAAAGGGAGGTAGCTACTATATGATGAGAGAGATCAGAAGGTACTGAAGCATAGCAGTTCAGGAGCTACAGAAATGAGCATATGGGAAAAGCAAACAGTGGGGCTGTGAGAGCTGTGGGGAACACAGGCAGCTACATAGCCTGGCCGGACCACTATGGGATGATTCCAGAGTTGTGGTAGGAGACCAGTTTTCATTCAGCCCTTAGACATTCGTTCTATTTATCTCGCCCCACTGAGACTGGAAAGAAAGAAACCCAAGAGGCAGATGATTTCAAACCCTAAGGTTCACTGAGGTTCCTTGGGTTTGAACTGAAAGTGGAATAGCTAGGGGTGGGAAAGGGGGGTTAAAAGCACAGGATATGGCAATCTTCTTGTGCATGAGTACAGACAACATTTCTACCCTGTTATTTACCTTCCTATTCTGCTGTAATGAAATGTGTGTGTGTGTGTGTGTTTTTCAATGGTCATGTATATTTTCTTTGGTGTGGCATAGAAATGTAATGGCCGGGGTTCAAGCTTGAGGTTTTGGGATAAGTGACTCACAATAGCACAGGGGACCAGAGATGTAACAAGAGGATCCAGAGTTGTGTGGGAATCCATGGGGACCCAGCGTTAACACACAACCTCACTTTGTGACCATTGACAAGTCGCCTCACCTCCCTGTGCCTGAATTTCCTTATCTGTAAAATGAGAGGATTGGAATAGATGGTCTCTAAGGGATCTTCCAGCTCTCACATTCAGCAATTCCATCTGTGAGGACCTTCCCAGGACAGCTCAGGAAAAGCTGCCCTCTATCTCAACTTTCCATGGTATGTCAGTCTTTGGGTAGGCCTTACCTTCCTGTGGACACAATCTCTTCCCATTCCTCTGGAAGAGTCAACTGAAATAAGGGGTTAACTATGACAAATCCATCTCAGACCACAGGCTTCCTGGGGATGGGGGTATTTTCCCCCTTTGACCAGGTTCTCTACATTTCCCACTCCCTCCCCAGCGGCAGTACTCTATTGCTTCCACCCCCACCCCCATCCCCCATCAGAACTCAACAGGTAACAAAAAACCGTACTTGTCCAACCCCTGTGTATGTGCCTCCCCACCCCCTCCAAACCCCACCCTAAATTGGTCTTCCCCCACACTCATCCCTACAGAAGGAGTCCAGTGTGGATGGCAGATCCATGAACATTTCGAGTGTCAGGTCCCACATTAGTCAATCAAGTTCAAAGTCAGACATTTTGAAAAGCGGATGGGGTCGAGGAGCAGAAGTGTGAAGAGTTCCGAGATGGTCAGCATAAAAATAAAACTAGTCCAGGAACAAGGGTATAGGGAAATCCAAGAATCCAAGAGCCTCTTCCCCTTCTGCCCCCCAACTTAGGGCTCCAAACAGATTCCTCTGCCTTCAATGGACAGGCAGAGAAGAAGCTTATGGATTAGTTAGAAACAAGTACCACTCCCATCCCCTGGTAGTATGGGAAGGATTCGCAGGCCTCTTACAGCAAGGGGAGGATCTAGGCTTGAACAGAAAGCACCTGGGGAGGGTCTGACATCCCATGAGTGCTGGGGGCTGTGGCGGATGAAGTGGTCCTGGGAAGAGGCCATGGGAGGGCCTCGATGTGTGGGACAGGGGCCAGGGACGGTTATGAAGTCGCCATGTTCTCCTCATCTCTCACAGAGCCAAGTTGATCTGGGGCTTCTGGGAAAAGGGAAGGGGTCCAGTTAGCCTGGGTCAGAGGCTGGGGGGGAGCAGCCCCCAGAGCGTGCTGAGGATTGTGGTGAGGGCCAGAGCTGAGGAGGCCTGGGCCCCAAGGCTAGCCCCATTGCAGTAGTCATACTGGCAGCAGGACGTGGTGGCAGCATTCTTGGTGTAGCCATCGTACAGGGTCTCAAAGCAGGTGGGGACGCAAGACTTGCTGACTGTTACCCTGGTTGGAGTGATATCTGAACACCACAGGAAGGGGAGGGAAGAGGAAAAAGAAACATGTTCATGATTCCAGGAGTGGGCAGCTTTTGCTCTGAGCACTTTCCAGGCTTACCCCCAAGGGGACAGCCCCAGTCCTCTCTAAGACTAGTTCCATGAGGATAGGGCCTGAATTTACTATTCTGTTGTCTCTTCCAGTATGTGATTGAGCTCACTTATGGCAGGCCCTCCACATATTAAGAAGCTGCAGGACAGACACAGCCTGGTAAACCCTCCTTCCCTTCATTCAACCCAGGAAAGGATGGGCTTTAAGAACTTGATGAGGGAATAAAGGGTAAGAGTCACATCCTCAGAATCATCTGAAGGTGGAAAAATTACAATGGAGTATTGACTGGAATGGTAGGAAGAAATCAAATGGAGCTCTTGAAGACTAGCCTTGTCTCTTAAGCCCTGGCTTTGCCACTGTATCTCAAGATAGGATAAATTCCTTCCTCTCCCTGTCTCATGGCCTCATGGTCTCAGGAGATTTAATGAGATGATCACTAAGGTCTGTCTCAACTCTGACTTGGTCAAGGCTGTTGCAACGTTCTGAAATTCTAGCCCTAACTGTGAAAGGGTTGAAGGGACTACTTACAGGTCCGGGTGGTCATACAGTAGTTGACGTAATTGGGGCACCTCATGGGCTTGAAGCAGTTGTACCCTTTGTATTCACAGACATAGCATTCCAGGGCATGGGCTACGTACAGAGGAGACACAGAACATAGTCAATAAAAGGTTAACATTGCCTTCCCCCAATCCTCACTATCTCTGGCTAGGGCTCAAACACTGGAAATGGGGGAGATGCCTTCTGGGCAGGTACATTCCCAAAGGACTAGACTCAGGGACTCAGGCCACAGCTGTTGTTCCCACCAGGGCACATTTACCTCTCTCTCTTTTTCTAATATTCAAGTGGTTGGCATCACGGATCTCACACAACCTACTCCTTCCTCCCACCTCTGGTATCCTAGACCCTTCGATTCTGCTATGGTCCCAGATATTCCTTCCTAGAATCGGATTGCTGGAATAAGGTGAGGAGAAGCATTAGAATTCCAGCCCTTCTGGGCCCCTCCCTCATCCCACCCCAACCCCTGGAGGTCAAACTGATTGTCTTCCTTACTGAGTGGCTGGGCCATGATGGTCATGAGAAGCAGGACTGGAAAGAACTTCATGGTTGAAAGCAAGGGGAAGGATTGCTAAGTTGAAGCAGGAAGCTGCAGGCAGGATTCTTCAGCCTGGAGAGAAGGTTAAGGGGAAAGGAGAAAAAAAAAATCACAGGGAGGAAAGGGTTAAAGAAAGGCTTCAAGCCTCACATCCTTGCTCCTGCCCAGCTCTGTTCAAAGCTTTGCCTGTTTCTCCTCCTATCATTCTCCCTTCTCTGCCCACTCCTCCTTCAATTTAATTCAAACTCTTCATTTGGAAAAGACACTGTATTTGGAGTCACAAAACATCTGTTTAAATCCTAGCTTGATGCTTTACTAGTTTCATGAACTTGGGCAAGTCATATAATTTCCTTTGGCTTCTATTTCTTCATCTGTAAAATGAGGTTATTACTTATATATCACTTTAAGGTTTGCAAAGTGCTTTAAAGATATTCTCTCATTGGATCCTCACAATAGTTCTGTGAGGTAGATGCTACTTTATCCTAATTTTATAGATGAAGAAACTGAGGCTCAGTGACATCACATGACTTGCTCAGAGTCACAGACTTGGGTAGGATTTGAGCCCAGTTCTTCCTGGTTGCAAGTGGCCCCTTCTAGCTCTTAATAAATGAGATCAAACATTTATTGGACATTGACCATATCCTCATGATAGTTATCTTCAAGGGCTAGCTCAAATATTTCCTCCTCCAGGAAGCCCTCCCCGTGACCATCCTAGTCCAGATTGTTCTTTAATCAATTCCTATGGAGTCGTCAAATCTATGAGCTGTCCACCTAGCCCAAAGTGTACCTCACCAGAGAATTGTCTCTGTAATAAACCTAATAAATGCCCATGCAGCTTTCACTTAAAGGCTTTCTGTGAAGGGGACTGATCTTATCTTTAGATAAAATCTGTCCTCTCAATGTCTACTCACTAGTCTTCTTCCACGAGAAGCAAGACTGCATTTCAAATACTTGAAGAAATGCATCCCCTCCCTTCCTTGCCAAGTCTTTTCTTCTGAAGGTTAAACATCCGCATTTCCTTCAAAAGGTGTTATGTGAATGGCTTCCAATTAACAGAGCCTGGGCCACGCCCATTCCGTATCCTCGTTGGCTAGTGCTGTCCGCAACCTAGACTGTGAGCTCCCTGAGGGCCCCTCCTTTCACCTCTCTGCCGCAGTCCCCCTCCCACCTGAGCCCTGCATAACACTGCTCAGAAGGGGGAGGGCTCAGGAGATGCCGCTAGGATTTCTGAATAGTAGACTAAGGGGGCTGTGACTCAGCTTATTCAGGCTGTGCCCAAGAAAGGCGCCTCTAATGCAGCAGAAGGCGTTTAGGTCAGACATCCTGGTGCCTAGGTCACAAAAGCCCCCCAAAACAAACAAACAAAAACCCCTCCTTCTCTCTAAAGACTCGCACCCGGCTATATAGTGCTGTCTAAACATCCAGTCACCAGCCCCCGGCTCGCCCATTTTCATGGTGCAGTAGGTTTCGTAAGGGTTAAAAGGGTGGGCGGAGTTGTTGGTACCTTCCTGGGGCTCATTAACTGTTCATCCAGCCTCTCGGTTTGTCCCCATCACTGCGCCATCACTGCGGTCCCTATGATTCAGCATTCTGCAGTAAGAGAATCCCGCCCCCTGCCTGCCACACCCTCTGCTCTCATCTGCGAGCTTTAAGATGCGGACTAGCTTTGTGAACCACATCAGCATGTCACACACCCCACTCCCATCTTTGATGTCAAAGGATCTCAGGCATCCTTCGGGAAAAATAAGAAAGTGACCGAAAGCTTGAGGAAGGAAGATCATCAGCATTACCTTCCATGGGTTCATTAACTGTTAATCCGATCTTTTTCTTCCCATTAACCGCACCACCACTGCGCCACCATTACGTCAACACTGCACCAACATTACGTCAACACTGCGGTCCCTATGATTCAGCATTCTGCAGTACCAGAATCCCGCCTCCACCCCGCCCCGCCCCGCGCCCCTTCTGGGGTAATTTGTGAGCCCTGTGATGCTGACGAATTTCGTGACCATCGTCCGCAAGTCACTGAATCTTTGGAGCCTTAGTTTCCCCTTCCGTAAAATGAGAATAATACTGGCACTAACTGCGTCAGAGGAGTATTTCGAGAAACGAACTTTGCAAACTTTAAAGTTACCGCAGAAATACGACGCATTAATACTATTATTACATTTTTATATAATAATTATTATTTTATGCACATTATTTTGTGACTCCTAGTTGTTTCTATCTATGCCCAAGTGAAAGCATCCTTCCCTAAGGCACAGTCTTACCACCAACTCTAGCCCCATTTTTGCCGTTAAAAGATCCCGGGTATCTTTTAGAAAAATAAGAGGGCGAAGAGAAGCTAATGGAAGGAAAATCATCAGTAGAGTCCTGGAGCAGGGATGTTGGTACCTTCCTAGGGCTCACTAACTGTTAATCCAGTCTCTGTTTTTGTCCCCATTACCTGCGCCACCACTGCATCAACACTGCGGTCCCTCTGATTCAGCATTCTGCAGTGCGAAAATCCCGCCCCCACCCCGCCCCATCCTCTGCCGCAATCTCCCCCAGCTCCCCCAATCAAAAAAGGGGCTCAAAAAGAGCTTAGGGTGGGCGGGAGGCATATTTCCTCATCTGTAAAATGGGGATGATTATATCACCTCCCTCCCAAGGTTGTTATGAGGTCTAAGTGAGAAAATACAAGAAAAGCGTTTTACAAAGCTCAAAGCATTTTTATAAGTTGTCAGCAACTATATAAAAAATAACTATCATAATAGTAATTATTATAGAGCACAGAGTGAGGGGAAAGCGGGGTGCCGGGCATAGACTGGGAGACCGGGAATATTTGGGGGGGTGGGCCTGGTAAGGGTGCAGAGATTGAGGGGAAAAGAACTGGAGGACTGGAGAATGAGAGATGCTGAAGGGGGGGCAGGGGGAAGAACTTGGAAGAGGAAGGTGAAATCCTGGGGGAATTGGAGATCGGGAAGGGACACTGAATGCGGAAGACAAGGCTGGGTGGGGAGCTAAGGAGTTTCTGTAGAAGCCCCCTGTCCATCCCAGCAGGTAGAGGAAGGGACTCCCCTATTTGCCTTGACTCCTCTCCCCTGAGAAGCCCCTTAAACAACCGTTTACAGCAACTGGTAGGGTCCAAAGGAGACCCTTCCCAGGCTCTCGGCTTTCCCACACATCACTCACGTCCAGGTCCATCCGGGTCCGTCCGGGTCCTTCCAAGTCAGTCCAGGTCCGTCGCGGTCCATCGAGGTCCAAGCCCGCAGCTGCAGCCGCAGCGGCGGCTGCGGCGCAAGTGAGGCGAGAGAGGGGCACCGCCGCCTTTTAGACCCACTTAGGCTCCGCCCCCTCTCCAGACCCCCTCCAGCTCCGCCCCTCGCTCCCTTACTGCAGAGCCCCCTCCTTTCCTCCAACCCCACCTCCACTGCAGAATTTTGGCTCCTGGCCTAGAATCCTACCGTAAGTCCGGGTCCTTGACTCAGAATTTTGCCAGGACCCCTCTCCCCCTACCCACCCACCCACCCTCATCGTCACCCCTTCCCCAAAACTAAGCTTTTAGGCCATGGGAGACCCACACATCAGACTATCACCCCAGGCTGGACCCCAGCCTCTGCAGTCCTTTCTAGGCTCCGCCCCAGACCTTCTTCTCCCTCCCTCAGATGAAGACTGCAGTCATCCCCCCCCCATTTTCCCCCCATCCTTGTCCGCAGTCTCCCCATCTTCTTCAAAACCTCTGCAAAATCTGCTTCACCACCTCCCTGCAGAGTTCTCCTCACCCCTCCCAACCTGTTTCTCTATGCTTACATAATCTCTGCGGCAAATCCTTCACTGCACCATCACCACCCCTACTTTGTTCAGGAAACTTCTACATCCTGATCCCAGCCAAGAACTTGGCCCCTGTCCCCAATTCCAAGCCAGTCCTGCCCCACACCTCACTCCCAGCTCGGGACCACCCCTAGTGTATCATCCTCAGCCCCCCACTCCCACCCCTCATCTCTCCAGAGCTGATCCTAAAACACCATGCCTTTGTCTTTGACCAGTCTGTCCCCAGGACTGCGACTGGGAGTGAGAGGCTGTGAGACAGTCACACAAGGCTAGACTAAGAAAACATCCATGCATGTGCTGACATTCCCAGATACAGAATCACCCTCAATCATACAGATACAAATTGACAAGCATGCATCCATACACATACACAAACATGCCTGTCTAACTCACAGGATTGTTGTGAGAAAAGCACTTTGCAGACCTTAATGATCTATTAAAATGTGAGTTGTTATTTTCTGTTATGTCTATCCCCTCCTCTCTACTCAAATGGAGACTACCTCATTTCAGTTCTTTATCTCTTATTACATCTTATGTGGATTATTGTGATCTCCAAAATGTCCTCCCTTCCAGTCTTTCCCTTTTCTAATTCCTCCTTCCAGATTCATTTCACCATGTCACTCTCATCTCAAAGAAAAATATAATTTGTCTACTGGTTATATATCTTTTCCTGGACTTCAAGGCCCTTCACAGTCTGGAATCTGCCCCCTCCTGTCCTATCTTTCCAATTTTATCTTCCTTTATTTTCTTCACACACTGTATACCTGAATCGCTGAATGCTCCCAGTATACAAGTAGCATTTTCTCTTACATCTGACATCTACTCCCTCCCTACTCCACCCAGTTAGTCCTTTGAAATCTTGCCCACAATGCCTTCCTCCATTGCTCCCATTGGATCTCTTCCTAATATGAACCCCTGACCTGATCTACTCTTATGACCCTTTTCACGTCCTGCATTTAACTGTCGGAATTCAGATTTTCAAAAAGGAAAAGAGGGAAGGGAAGAGCCCTCAAAGTACAGCCCAATGAAGTAGCTCTGATTTCTTAAAAAGTTCCTAAAAACATCTTATTAAAAGGGTGATTTGTGAACATTCAGAAAGGGAAGCAAAGATTAATATAATGACTTCATTAAGATTAGACTCTGCAAGGCTAACCTCATTTCTTTTGTTGATAGGGTCACTAGATAGGTAAATTAGGGGAATGTCATATATGAGTATACATAGATCTCTGCAAAGGGTTTGACAAAGCCTTTCATGCTTTCATGGTTGGCCAGATGAAGACATAGAGATTAGATGCATTTGGGAAGATTCAGAACTGGTTAAATGTCTGGACCCAGACACTTACTAGCTGTGTGACCCTGGGCAAGTGTCTTAACCTCTGCTTGCCTCAATTTCCTCATCTGTGAAACAGAGCTACTAATAATAGCACCTACCTCCTGAGGTTGTTGTGAGGATTAAGTGAAATAATATCTGTAAAGTGCTTAGTACAGCACCTGGCATGTAGTAAGTGCTATATAATCTTAGCAATGATGATGATGGTGATTAATCAACTGAAATCAACCAGGAGGGAGGTCTCTAGCAGTGTCCCAGGAATCTGTCCTTGGTTCTGTTTAGGTTTTTTGCTTGTTTGTTTGCTTTGTTGTTGTTGTTAATTGTTTTTTAATCAAAGACTTGGATGATAGCCTAAAGGGCATGCTTATCAAAACTGAAGATGACCTGAGGGCTAGTTAACACCTTGAATGATGAAACAGTAATCCATTAAAAAAAAAAAAACTCCACAGGGCTAGTACATTGGGCCAAAGCTAATATGATGAACTTTATTAATAGGGTCCAACACAACTTCAGTAAACCAACTGCCAAAACTCGGGACCAGGAAGGTATGGCTAAGACTAATCTCATTTCCCTTTCTGACAGGGTTTCTTGACTTCTGGCTCAGCAGGAGATTTTTGGTTTTATCAGCTTAGAACAGGTGAAGTTCCTTAGCCTCCAGATCAGACCACTAAGGAAAAGCATCACTAGGAAGTTACTGGATATTGTAAACAGAGGGACTGATCATGGAAGTCAGTGGCCATGCCATTTATACCACCAGACTGTGACAGTACAAAGTAAACTGGTTTGCTCCTTCACTTATAGCCTCCAACTTGATTGAACAGAGATAGAAGGTCAAGCTGTTCTGCCCAGAAACCTTCTTCAGTAAGCTCACTGCCGGCCAGAAAAGACTTCAAAAAGCAGCTACCTTTTAAGATGTGAGGAAGAATGACCTGATGAGAAATCTCTTGAAAGGAAGCTCATGCTGGTTTAGATTATTTCAGTCATCTGGAGGATGATCTATGAGAGATGGTCATGGGAATGCTATGATTGATCTAGACTTTAGTAAAGCAGGCTTTACTGACAGACTTTGATGGTGGGAAGGAGAGAAATAGAAGCAGAGTACAGTTATGTGGCTTTGAAAATAGCTGAATGACCAGCCTCCAAATGGTGCCATTTTAATGGATCGAGGTCTTTTGCAGGAGGCCTCTAGTGAAGTATTCCAGGTAACTGTGCTTAGCCCTGCTCTTCCAGATATTCTCACCACTGACTGGATAAAGCAACATATGGTCTACTCATCAATTTTATAAATACCGCAAAACTGACAGTTGTTAATTTATTAGAAGACACACTTAGGATTCAAAAAGAAGATCACAACAGGCTAGAATCTTCTGGAATGTTCAGGATTCAAAGAAGATCTCAATTGATTAGAATGTTGCGGAATATATCTGGGATAAATCTAGAGTCTTAGACTTGAGTTCTATGTTAAGGCTGGCCACAGTATGACTGCCACAATTCATTCCATTTCTGGTTTGCAGCTGCCATGATCTCTTTCTTCATGCTTGTATAAGAGGGCTTGTCATTTAAGATATACATATTTTTGGTAACTGGAAGCGCTAAGCTTCTTTTGTGACTGTCTGTGAATTGACTGAGTTGTCTTAAAAACCCATCAGTCATGTGCAAAATCCCAAGGGAAAGCTATAAATTACTTGATTAAAGGATTCATTGTCTCCTCCATGAAGAACAGACCTTGAGGTCATTCATTTGTCAGTGGTCACATAAGTTTGGTGTAAGTCAGATTACTGGAGTCATTACAGATTGTCTATTTTCTTGTATACCTATTCAATCTTTTGCTCCCCGATATTTTTTACTTTATCTCCCTAAACTTGAACTTTCAGTAGTTTCAGGCACCTCTCTAAGGCTTTAAGTTGCAGAAAAGCTGCTGATCTGCCTTGGTGGAGGACATTTCTTCCCTCCCAACACTGATATCATCACATGTCCGGACTACCTCCATCTGTCCCCAAATCCTATTCTTAGAAGCATCTTTTTTTGTTTTCAAAAATTCAGACTTCTTTAAATAATGCCCATTCTAGCCTGAATGGATGAGTATTTTGTAGCACCCTGGTTGCAGGAAGTATAGACAATAGATTTCCACATCCTCAAATTAGGAAGCCTTGAGCAAAGGTAAGAAAAATGATTGTTTTAATCTCACCCTTGCCACCCCATTTAGCCAATTACTGCCTTAGAATCTCAGAGACTAGGCAAATTAAAGGACCATTGTGTGATTGATGGGGATGAAAAGCCTCTTTGATACTGCCATTGCCACAAGCCATTTTGGGCCTTATGTGTCCAGATGGTTAATGGAGACTCCACTGGAGATGCAGACTAGAAGAACCACAGCACTTCTCTTCTCCCTCCAGTTCTCCTGAGAATCCCACTGGCTGTAAAAAGAAGTTCCTTCAATAAATATTATTAAGTTGCATATATTTTGTGCCTGTACAATCTTGTGACCACTGACTCACAACAAGGTCACTAATTTAAAGAGCATTCACTGCGAAGTGAATGGAAAAGTGAACAGGGCAGACTGATTCATTCTTCTGTCCTGCAAAATCCCTATGAACTCTATTCAGGGTCAGAAAAGTAAACTTCACGAGTACAAGAATAATTTTTTTCTAAAGAACAGAAGTCCATCTTCTATCCCTTTCAACATCATTCCTCCCTAGTGGGGGAAAAAAACCCTTGTAACAAAAATGAATAATTAAGCAAAACAAATTCCTGCACTGGCCATGGCAATAAAACTCTGGATCTGGAAGCCTAGATGGCATAATGGATAGAGTGATGGACTTGGAGTTAGGAAGACCTGAGTCCTGCCTCAGATACTTACTAGCTTAAACCTCTGTCTGCCCCAGTTACCTCAGCTATAAAATGGAGAACATAATAATACCTACCTCCCAGGGTTGCATGAGAATCAAATGAGATAATGTTTGTGAAGTGCTTTGCAAACCTTAAAATACTATGTGAATACTATCAATTTATTGTTGTTGTTTCTGTTGTTGTTGTTAGGTAGAGGGGGGCCTCAAAGTCAAGAAGTCCATTTCTGAT